AATATTAAGAATTTAAATTAAGACATAGATGTGAGTAGATAATACACATTATTTATTATTACAATAAAGTAATAATAATGATACATATTAAATAAAAAAGAACAATAAATCGCATACATGTATTCTATTTATTTGAATTTATCTAAAATTACCAAAATATAACTGAAATAAAAACTTTCTCGAGCTAGTTTTCACAGAAATGGATATTATTATTTTATAGAATAAAATTATTTTCATGAAATATTCAAGCTTGCCCAGTTATTTATCTTTTAAAAAAAAATGTCATTTTTTACTGGAGATGTAAATGAATGCGTATTAATTTAATGAAATGCGAAGATGGCGCTCATTTTGATTTATCTATATACATATTTGTACAGTGATTCGTTGACATGTGAAGAGGTTATATTTCTTCGGGTTTCTCATTCTATTCGCCTTATCTACGATCGCACTGAAAAAGTAGTTTAATGATAATCCTGACATGAAGAATACGTAGAGGAATAACAAGCGATAGTGCACGCAACAAAACCCCATTGTTAGGAGTTATTATTGAATTACTAAATTTCTATGACTGTGGATTGTCAAAGTATGTTATTGTACAGTGTTTTCATGGCTACTATAATGTTTTGTATGCTTTTTTCCCTTGCTAATACTAGCACGAGCTCGAATTCTCTTTCTGTCATAATTAGGAAATAATTTATAACAAATATCTTCAAGCTGTATAACATAAAACCATGTGGGATGACATGCATAAATTCGCGGATATATATTTTAAAATAAATACAAATACGTGTTCGAAGGAATCTGGAGATAAGAAACAGAAATGTATTTTTTATTTTCAGAAATCTAAAGCAAGGCAATGGGTGCAACGCCAAGTAGATACGATGATCTATCCAAGAATGTTCATTTGGAAAGATTTTGCGGGAAAAAGAGTATACTTCCAAATGATCCATTCTGGAATAATTTTTTATCTTATAACATAAGGCCACCTGTGACAAGAAATGACCAAATAGAATTAGATTCTCGCTTAGATTTTTCATGCCGACAGTTACTTGCAAATAATTTAAGTACTGGCAACTTGGGCAGCTTGATACAAGTTGCCCTTATACGTGCTAACAATTTACTTGCCCCGATGCAGAATCAAAAGTATGATACCTCTTGTTATATTATTTGAAAAACTGGAATTGATTTATATTTTATATTATGCATTGCAGAATCATATCAGCATGGCAAACGTACAATGCGCTCTTTGCAGTGAGATGTATATTAAAATATTTAATTGAAACAATCGGTGAAGAGGAGATGATAAAGCACATAGAAGCACCTCAGCTACCAACGCCGACAAGTTCATGTTACAGACTAGAAAATCTTTTCGAATCATTGGTTGACATTATAACTTTTGTGCCATTATGGTAAATAATTTTAAAACAGCCGATCAGATATTTTAACACCTCATTATCTGAAATATGTTTTACAATGAAATTCTGCATAAATAACTTTGTCCTAATAGCGAATTCACATATGTCGTTCACCTGGAGGCAATAAACTGTTTACTGGTGCTACTGTCCGTGCAGTTGTTCTCTCAAACAGCAGCTGAATACAGTTGCATCTACAGAATAGCGATGCACTCGCAGTCTAGTGAACATGCGTCAGCGATGGTATGCACACTGTTGCATAACTTTGTGCAGCAGGAACATGCTCCTCCTGGTATCCTTACACAGCAAGCAGGAGGGAGCATCGTTTTCAGTATAGCTGGTACATACACTAATAAATGATAATAGATTCCCTATTCCAGATCTAAATTGAATGCTCTATCAATTACATTATATGAAAACATTTCAGCCGGATTGTGGAATGTAATTACTATGGGCATAGGCAGGGGTAGCAGTTTAAAAAACGTGCAAGTTGCAAATAGTGGTATCTCCGAGGAAGAAGAACGAAAACGTGATACAGAAACACCTCTCGCTAGTCAATCATTATTACTATTATTGGTGCTGACCAATCATTGTACTGCAACTCAGAATCCCTATAGAAACGCACTTTTTACGTTCACAGATATGCAAGGCTAGTGAACTAGTTAATTATCATTTTTAATTTAATTTTCACATCGGCATTATATGTCAAAGGAATTGTTTATATTTTTACAGAGGAGTTTTCCACGATGCAAGGAAAAGGTGCATTTAGATTTAATTTGAATAAATTGTACAACACTATTTGTAAAATACCAAATACGGATGAAATCACATTATTATTATATATGCTGCTACATAGAAATCCAAATGTAAAGCAAGACATTATGAAGAGACCAGACATACAATTATTGGTAAATAAAATCTATTAATATGCTGATAAATTAAATTAAGGACTATTGTAAGATCATTTTTTATATTCTTCGTAGGTAACACCGATACTTCAAATATTATATCATGCTCCAAACAACACGTCACATCATATTTACATGTCTCTTATTATCCTACTAATTTTAAGCGAAGACGAAGTATTTAATAAAAGGATACACGAAATTGTAGGTGTCAAGAATTAATTCATTTTTCATTAGAAGGAATAAAAATTTTAAATAAACCGACAATAATTATTCCAGATGCTTAAAGGTGTGAGTTGGTATACGGAGAGATCGATAAGTGAAATATCTTTAGGAGGTCTCTTAATTCTTGTGGTGATAAGGACCATACAGTATAATATGTTTAAAATGAGGGTAAGATGTAAGAAAGCAATTGTAGAAGAATGTAAACATAAAAATAATTTTTATACAATTAATACGATAATTTTTAATGTTATAGGACAAATATCTTCATACGAATTGTTTAGCAGCTTTGGCAAACATGTCGGCACAGTTCACATCGTTACATCCGTACGTTAGTCAACGATTGCTAAGTTTGTTTGAAACTCTTGCAAAAAAGCATGCTAGATTAGAAGCAAAAATACGCACACAGCCTTCAGTCTCTTCCGATAGTACTACTGTCACAATCAATGGAACGACGGCGAACACAGATTTGGTAAAGTTTACAGTAAGGAATTTACGTTATATGATTCAAAAATAAATTTCTACGTGACGATTACATTTTAGATCCAAGATTTAACGATACTTGAAGAAGTTCTACGAATGGTACTAGAAATTTTGAATAGCTGTTTAACTCACAGGCTTGCACACAATCCAAATTTAATATATACCCTTTTATATAAAAAAGATATTTTTCAACCATTCAGAATGCATTCGGCCTTTCAAGACATCGTACAAAATATAGATTCTGTAAGTTTTTTAATAATGCTTACACATTACGTACTGTTTTTATTTATATAATAATGAATGAAAATTTGTTTTTTCAGGTCATAAATTTCTTCTCTTATAAATTGGAACAGAAAGAGCAATCGCAACTTGGCGTGAGCCAAGTATTAACTACGATTCAGCAAGGTACTAGCGAATGGCCCTGTGATCGTTTAAGGGTATGCTCTCCTTATATTTCAATGCCGTTAAAAATTTATTTTCATTGTGATTTATCGATGCATCTTTACGTTACAGAGATTTCCAGAATTAAAATTTAAATATGTAGAAGAAGAGCAGCCAGAAGAATTCTTCATTCCTTACGTATGGAGTGTTGTTTGCCAAAGTGCGCTCTTACATTGGAATGCGGAAAATATAAAATTATTTTCACCTCAGACTGGAGAACAAACAGCGATCATCGTCTGCTGATACTGAGATACGGGCTGCTGTGTGCAGTAAAATAAATACGAACTAAAGAATATCGAAAATCGGTATTACCTTGTCATGAAATGTTTATTTGATACAAAGAAAAAAATATATTATTTATTGTAAAGTTGAACAAAATAAGAAAAATAGAGATTAACTTAAACAACACATTTACATCGAAAATAGATTTGTCAGTACTTACGCCTTGATTAATATTTCATTTAGTCGTGTTTATATCGTTTTTCAAAAATTAGGATTAATCGAGTTTTCGAGTAATTGTAAAACTGGAATGTTCTTCAATTCTTTTTTAACATGCATGAGCCTAACTAAAGAGACACTCATGGTGCCAAAACGTGGATCAACCATGAATTATAGATAATACATTCATTGTACAGAAGCGAAATCAGATACAAGACGGTAAAATTTGTCATTAATAAGACTGGAGTTGTCTACTTCGTTATTTTATAAAAATCGCTTATTGAAGTATTTAAGCATAAGTGATAAGCATAGAATTGTTTAAATATTCAACTGGATCATTATAAGTTCACACCATGGGTAAGAGTGAAATATACATAAGAACATTTTATAACATTCCCCAAAGAATATGTATAAATACATTCACGTTTCCAGTTGAGTATTCACTGCGAAATGTATAATACCTTACAAATTACATTAACGAAATTATTCTTTCATTTAATCATAGAGTTAAACATAATTTCTTTCCGTGCTTGTAAAAGAAATAATTATTAAATAGCTCGCGGTATTACGTTCAAAATATTTCAAATTGAAATAGAAATGACTAATATAAAATAATTTGATTTCTTACGCATACATTTCATTGTATATTGTTATTTATATAATTGCAGAAATGTTTATTCCAATTTTACGTATCGAATTTAATTGTAAATACATGACATCTATTAAGCGCATGGAAAAAATATTAAGTTACAATTATTTATTTAGTTTAAAAAAAGGAATAATGTAGTGCATCTAATATCATTTGTATGCTCGTACAATTGAAGCCGTTAATGTTGGAAATGATTTTAATTTAATAATATCTATAAATATATAAAAATTAATAAAAATAAAAAATTCTGATATTTATAAAAGCCTCTTTTTATTTGATTAACCGTTTAATTCCAAAGGTACAAAATAAAAATGTTTATAAGAAACAAGATATACGTTTTAACAACATAATAGTTAAAGTGTAATTGTTTTAATTTGTGCGTAGAGGATTCTAATATGTGCAGAGCGTCCTATTTAAATAAATCATAATTTAATGAATCTGCTTATCCGTCGTAATTCAACAGGGGATAAATTAATACCAACTATCTTCCAGCCTATAGGACATATTAAAACAAATTTGCATAAATTTTTTTATACACAAACTTTAATTATTATATTCTTAGTCAATATTCTTGCAACATGTATAACTTTACATCGAAAGCTTTTCTACTTTTCCAATCTACGATGGTGCAATAAAAACTCACTATCAAATATAACAATTACCAGTATTGGATATCAAAAAAATTAATTTTTCATACAATTTTAATTGATTAAAATATTTATTTCGCAATTAGAATAAAGTTTAATAATCGCGACATTTATCCTACGCTCATCACTTCAGCAATTTTTTAATTTTAATAATCGGGAAGTATATTTTATTATTGATATCCCAACACTGACAATTATATATCGTGCACGTAAAGAATACAGGAAATAAAAATTGTATTCAATTCTAAAGCAGATACACGCGTGAACTGAATTCTAATGCGTCCTCTCGGCTGTGAAGCTAGTCTCTTCACTTTTCGAATGTACATCTTTATTAAACAAATACAGTTGACGTCTTAATATTATTTATAATATGTCGTTATAGATAGTATTTCACTTTTCCTAGCCTGTGCAGCGTGTATATGCGGCCGCGCGTGTAATCGTGTGTCCGTGTACGTGAACATGTTAAGTATGTACGCATGATTCGTGTTCAATGTATCCCTCGTGTACAATACTATTGCTAATAATTTTTCTCTTGTCGAACGATTTTCTCAGTTGCAGAATTAACAAGGTAATTTGACGTTTCTGTGCGCCGCGTGCAGACGCCCCAAATATTTAAATAATTGTCAGTGTGTCGCGTGATTTTTCTTCCACTTCATTTCTTCTTTTTTTTTAAATTAAAAGACTCGTGTTAATAATCCTTGGCTTATGCTTCGCGTCACCTTACGACTCTGAAACTGTGCTTAGCGTACAGATATAGTATTCAGTATTAATAATTAAATTCCTTAACGGTACTATATCGTTACTTAATCTTATTAGTTAACACACAATCAATCTGCGACGGGAGGGAATTTAGTCGGTCCGCAACGTCCTGTTCACGGCCTAGCTATATAGTCAATATTGTTAATTATTTAATTCATTACAACATCATCGTAGTATTGGAATTTCATGTCCCTTTATTTTTTCTCCTTTTCCGCATATTATTGAACGCTGTAGTTCATTTTACGTGACAAACACGTACCTATGCGCATAATTTCCGTTACCGTTTCTCTTTTCTCTTTTCTCTTCTTCTTCTTCCTCTTCTTCCTTCCTTCTCTTTTGCCTTATCGAGGGTAAACGTACGAATTAGAGGCGAGAGCGTAGTACTTATGTATATGTAACTTGCCGTGCGCCCAAGTGCTCTAACAAATTCGGAACCAAGCGTTTCATTCGAGAAGTAAGATTGGCGGTCTTCAACGTCAATTGACTCTTTTAATGGATCGCGAATAATTGCTCCTAGATTGTCGCAGCTTGGACCGATGTAAAATTGAAAATATTCTGCAGACTATTTAGGCGAACGGTACGTGTAAATGTCGAAGAGTATGTATATTTATTATACGTAAACATACATACACGGATACATGTGCATATGTATACGTACGCTAGCTGCCTACAAAATACAATAGTACATTACAAATTCATACCATTTTTTTCTGTAATCCTTCTTTTCTCTTTTATTTCCTCGTCTCTTAAATCATTTGCAAACAGCTTAGATATATTTTTATGTATAATAATATATATTATATAATAGTATCATCTAGTTGGTTTTGTTTTGCATAGTTTCTTCTTATTTTCCTTTTTCCCTTTTCTCTCTCTCTCTCTCTTTCGCGCACTTTCTTTCTCTCTCTCTCTCTCCATACAATTAATATAATTAAGTACATCTTTAGAGCAGGCGATATACACCTAAAGTTACAGTGAAGAGTAAAACCGAACCAGCGTCCTTTAATCCATAAGCTACGATCAGGCAAAAATGGTGAAAATTGCAATTTTCACAACTCTGGCACAAAACGCACACTTTTTGATGCCTGTCGTTTACTTCGGCGTCGACCGATTTCAATAAAATGTCCCATGCTTCTATTTAACTGATGTAAATCTTAAAAGTGTATAAATTAACTTAATTTTCATTAAAAGTCCGAGTGAAAAAGTTGAGACGAGCTACAGGTCTTCGAAATTGTTTTCGCACGTTATTCATTAATCTAGTTCACCTGACTTCTCAATAAAACTCGGTTGGTTTGGTCCGATTTGAAAAAATTTATTCAGTTTTAAATAGCGTCGGTTCAGCTCTGCTATTCACTGTAGGTTGCAACGGTGTCGTTCTTCCATGCGAAATACTTCTTCTGGCTCGCTAGCGGGCGAGAGTGTCTTCTCTCTGATATACATAGGTATTATCTTGCTCCAAATGTGGCTCGTTAGACCGGGTGACAAAAGAATGCTCCCTTCCTGCGCCTCAGCCGTCGGCAGATGCCCTTGCCGAGGACTTCCGACGCAGGATGTACCGCGACCTCAAATTCGCGCGCTCCTAATGCTTCGTAAGCCAGCATTTAATTCTTTGTGCAGCTGTCAGATTTTATGCTTATGTCGTGTAAAAGATTCAAGAAAGGGTTCCGTATTGTGCGATCGAAGAAGGAATCGGTCAATCGAATTTACTTCTTTTTTTTTATCAAGTCTGTCTTTCTTTTCCTATTATGTTTCATGAAAAATCTCATGATCACCAATGAGTACGTGCATATGTATAGAATGTCGAATCCCGTGAAACGAACAGAATTCATTGTTTCCCGAATAGGATCATACTCCCGAGTATTACATTATGCATAAGTGAGATGCGTCAGATCAGTATATTCGAGATTAACTCAATCGCGGTTGCAACGAAACGAAAGTGTTGAACCAGACGACAGATTTAGAATTCGTAATTGGCGCAATGATTGGCCTGCTCATGCGGGCCTTGCGAATAAACAATAGAGCGCAAACATGAGCGCTCTTACAAAAGAAAAGAAAAAGAAATAATAATAACAATTAAAGAAATAATCAGCGTGTCCTATTTTCCTTTCGCCGTTTTCTCTCTCATCGTTAAATCGACGCGTTTCTCGTTCGTTCCATTGATCAGATCGTTTTAAACGGTGAAATGCGTAAAGATAACGCGTGTATCTTCGCCCGGACATGACAACAAACGAAACAATCCGTTCGATAAAATAAAAAGCTCGATGAAAACAAGTCGCGGTTATGGCAAGTAACATCACGATAGCGAGTTGCAATGTAGGAGCTCTTTACGAAAAGTTTTCAAACTTCCGACAAATCTCTTATAAAAATGATATGATATGCTCGTTGGAAAAATAAATTGTTCATATAGTTTCTATGAATATAGATATCCGTACACAAACTTTCAGTACTAAATATTCGATCGGTCGGTATAACTCTAAATACATAGATACATATACAAGATCCTCTCATTACTTCGTAGCGAGTATCGATGCGCAGTTTGCTTATGAGATCATTCGTCAATAATTAATATACCCTGCGGATCATTGCACATATGAGGCATGCATTCGATGACAAGCGAGCTACGCGCCAAGGACCACTGTCCACTTTTCATTTTCGGTAAACGATGCCCGAACCGCGTCGTCAACGAATGTAAAATACTTTGTCTACGCGTCTGTTTCTTATCAGCTACGCCACTATAACAGTTAATGTTTTAAAATATCAACAACAGCGGAGTAGTTGCTATGCGAGAAGTCCTCGAACGGCACGCCTAACATGCGAGATATACTGATAGGAAATCAGTTGAACTGTTCGCTATTAAAATATAGAGTAGAATTCAACACATTAGTTCGCGTAAAGGCACATAAAAATCAGTTTCCCTATGAAACGATTGCACACGATAATTATTTAAAGAAATAACAAACTATTCCCTTTTCATTAGTCGAATCGCTGCGCATTATTCTCCGCGGTTACTCCCCCCGTTTAGACGAACCGAGTTCCTCACCACAGAATAATGATCGGACGCTGTATGTATACGTAAGTACACATTTCTTTTCTTCCGTGCACATATTACATGTACCTCATAATCTGTATACGCGATGAACTTGCATATACAAATCTATATGCATGCGCACACATGTATACGGATATGATATAATACCGTACTTAATGGTGAAGCACTATCATAAAGATGCGCGGCAATGTCCTTACTAAGAGCTAAGAGTTTTTCTTTTTAGATTGATTAGGAAGGAACGTTGTGCAAATTATATTAGAGATTTTTTTTACTTAACAAATAAAATGGAAAATTGGGCAAGTATCATACGATGGCCTAGGCTCAGCCCGACTTCATGCGTTACCGGTTAAAAATACACTTTTACCATTCGTCGAATTATTAACATAACAGATTAATTCACTATTTTGAACACCTAATAATCGAACATGAAAGACGTTATCGTTACGAGACAAAATATACACACGTCTGTATTTATGAGATCAAATATCGTGTTAAAAACCTTAGAAAACAAGGACGAATACGTTCAATTAGATAAGGTTGCGTTATCGGGCTGTCCTGCGTACAAAAGGAAATTCTAATCGAACATAATAGCGAATACAGTCAGCGTTAGTAAAAATTCGTAACAAACAGTAGAATAGAATAAAATAGAATAAAAGGAGGAGAAGATGATAATATTAAGAGTATAAAAGAAATTCCCTCGTCCTTCCATTACTGATAAAGAAAATAATAATAGTAATAATAATACGTAGTTGCTGCAATAATAATATTTAGTAATAATAATTAGCGGTAATGAGTGTAAAATATAAATTAATTGTTTCCAATTATACCTTGGAAATTATCGTCTTACCTTGGTAAGCTCCATCGGTAAAATTAAGTATCCTCCATATGTATCTTTTATCTATTAACATCAGTGGCGTGTTGTAGATAGAAAGAGTTTCAACTATTCGATAAAGCGTCCCGCACTCTCTTACAAATTTTGCTGGCTTTTAAGGAGAGTACTAACTAGTTGGTGCATTAACATTTTACTTGATACCAATATGTCCTGCTCATCATCTATGGGGACGGATATAATACGACGCTTTCGCATTTATATATAGGAATATCGGATCGATTACCGAAAATATCGAGATGATCTTTAAAAGACGCATTTAACTCGATGGATATTAGAATAGGATATAGAGCGGCATACAATGCGTACGCGTTACGAAGCGTCATAAGAAAAGAAACAATAACGATCGTTTGGAACGGGAGATATACATTTATGAGAGAGAAACAATATGAGTTAGTACTCCACTTAATCACCATACGAAGAAGGGGGATGGTGAATGCAGAAGGATAGTAATTTAAAAACCACGATGATCCCATTCCAATTCATGAGGCGAGGTGTGACGGCGATGTCGGCCGTTGCTCAGTTCGCAGTCGTTCTCGCAATCGGAGCTGTCTAAATCATCGTCTCTGTACGAGCCGTCCTCCGAGTCTGAGCTACCCGAATCGTCAACGTCCTCGTCTCTCTGGCTTTGATGATGGGGATCGTGCTCTGTGAGCCTCTCCATTGGATTAACGGTAATAGCGAGCGCGGAATCGTCCCAAGCCATTTCGGTCTCTGCAGCCAACTCATCCCCGGCGGACGGTCGCCTCTTCGCGGCACCTCTGACCCTTGCAGCTCCGACCACCGCCATCAGAAGCAAGAAACAGATACAGGCAGCGGCCACGATCGTAACTGCGTGGCTGCCGCTAGCAGTGCCGATGCTTCTGTTACCCTCGCGGAGGGCAGCTGTCGCGTATTCCTCGGGCAAATCCGCGTGATGAGGGGACAGTTGAACGTGACCGGGAGCTGGCTCTAGAATTCTAGCTATCGGTGGTTCGTCGGGAGTGGAGTGAGGAAGGACGGTGGTCTTTTCTTTCGGGTGAATAACCGCGAGAGTCTGCACGTATTCGTTGCTGGCAAAACGGCCGCTAAGCTCGGAGCAGGTCAATTTGAACACGCGATCGAGATAATAAGCTGGCTTACGATTCGTGTACATTATGAGGCGTATCAATTGCTGATAATTGTAGGGCGTGTCAGCGCCTGAAAGAACGACACCATCGCGATCTACGCGCGCGGAGATAGAACGGTATCTACGGAGAGCATCACCCGGCAACCCTAAGCTTTCATGGTCGGGATTAAGACTCGGGTAAACGCTGACCGCGCATGCATCTAATCTGGCAGCGGAACCGGCAGTGACTCGAGCGTCCGGGAATACGGCAACACCGAGACGGAAATCCGCGTATTCCCTGGCTACGTAGCCGGTGCCGTTCACTGTAATTCCTGGACGGGGAGGTGGCAAAACAGTTACATACGATTGAACAGTTGGTACCGGAAGCGGATTGTTCTCGCTACCTTCGCACACGATCGTTGTCTCTAAACGGAAATTACGTCGGCCCGGAGTCGGGAATCGTCTCGAGTTAGAATAACCGATACGACGGAGAAGAGTTTCGACGTTCGTGCGATTATCTCCGTCGATTCGTACCTCAGTTAAGTCAGAATTGGTGAGCAATTGGGTTCCTGGTTGTAGCAAATCCATCGATGGCACGTGAATACCTTCTTGGCAACGACGCAAGCAAGATAGCACATCCGGCTTTTCGTTTCGCCCAACTAGGACTGACAGTCCAGCCAGATAGCCGCGGAAATGATGTTTCGTTTTATTGTCGGATCCTTGCCAGCATGCACCGACGACGAGAGTCGTATTAACGCCCTTCGCGGGATGCAACGGCCAGTCGTCGATCACTTCGGGATTCTTTTCGTCTGTGCGCCATTCCTCTCCGTCAACGTACAAAGTAACGTGGGGGAAGTCGACTTGCACGGCGTAATGATGCCACTTGTCGTCGCACACTTGAGTAAGTTTCCAACGCCATTCGGCAGGCCGGAAGATATTAGGATCACCCTCTGAGAAGTCGCGTCTAAGTAGCAAAATCAGTCTGCAGTTTCTGATGAAAAGAGCGTAATGATGTCTATTCATCTCTGCAAATCAAATAATTGATCGTTTAATGATACAGATTCAAAAAATCTCAGAAGTTTGAAAATTAAACTGTAGCTTTCAAACTTCCACGCGATACTGCATATTAAAGGAAATCGATTGTCGACTCACTATGGTCATCGGCAGCGCACAAGATATGTTCTTTAACGTGGGGATCTTGTCTAGGACGAGGTCGATGTTTTACCCAAACTCCGATCGTGAATTTTTGTGCCAAGCTGTGCTCGAGAACATCGCTGGGTACAATGGCAGCGGAATCGACCCCGTCGAATTCGAAAATTTCGTCCGCTTCCCTACCCTCGTCGCGGGACAAAGATGCCGTCCAGGAAGTCGTAGGCCCGGGAGTCGGCAACAGATCTACGCTGTCACGAGACGCGCCGCACAATTTGCGTTGGCTACGAACGCCGTATGTGTCGCGATCGCAACCTTTCCCGATATGGTCTGTTGCAAGAGTCAAGGTGGCTCGAACGTTACGCAATATACAAGGAGCATCGCAAAGATCCAATCTGGCGGAGGGAAGTAACGGTTGAGAACCGACACCTGCGGCGTAGTCGACCCTCTCTGGGATTCCTCTCCAGCCGGGTGCACAGACGCGATTGACTTTGACAGTGACCATAGCTGGTGCAGATTGTTTCATACCGCAGTCATACGCGACCACGCTCAGAATGTAATTATGGGATCGTTCATAATCCAATGGCTCGGTATTGCGAATGGCTCCCTCATTGTCGATGATGAACGGTTGGTCGGCTGTTAAAATTTCATACTTGCATACGTCGCCGAATTTCGGAGTGCAATCTCTGTCGGACGCTTCAACACGGACAACTTCTTCGTATAGGCGACCCTCATCCACGGTGCTGACATAGGCCGGTTGTAGAAACTGTGGCGCGTACTCGTTTACGTCCACCACGGTAATATGCACCGTGGCGCTAGAATTAGATAGATGTAATTCATTAACATCTTCTTCAATGTATAACTAATTCCCATACATAATAATAATAGTCTCTATGTTAAATCATAGCAAAGTCGAAGCAAGATAAAAGTAGTGAACGATGACTCGTTATTTGAGAGTATTAACCGAACCATAAACCGATTCGTATTAGATTTTGGAATTTAATCGGGACACGTCCTCAATATATCAGGTTGAATAAAAGCTAGAACGAGTTATGTACGTTCATCATGAAATGTCGGACGGTATTGAATGCACTTCATACTTTTCCGATAGCGATCCATTGCAGCCAACGGCTTCGATATCAAACTTGTAGTTGCGCCGTTTCTCACAGTTGAGAAGTCGCAAAGCTCTCAGCTCTGCCATTCCTTTCTCTTTCAAAACAATCTCGAAGGGCGCTTCCCCATGGTGTTTATTCGCGATACGGAAGGAGCAAACTTTGGCACCAACAGCTCGTATCTGTGGCGTGACCTCGACCAGAGTTTCATTTTCCTTCACCAGGCCGTGGTATCCGCTTTCTGGACTGTCCAAATCCAATCGTGGTGCTGAGGAAGAGAACCAGTAAAATGTAGTTTAAAATAAATCATGTATAGATGTAAGTTTTAAAATTAACTAAATACATTTTTAAGCGACATGAATAAAGTATCTTCGTCGCGATTTATGGAATTGATATCTCGATTAATAAGTTTGAAAGAAAATATTCTAATAATCATATACATCGTTTATTTACATATGAACGAGATTATCGTAAAAAATAGGGCAAGGCGTGCAAGAATAACTTCTTTCGAAGTGGAAATATCGTAGAACGCGGCACAATTTCGCAATTTCACTTCCTGGGATTTTTTCTTCTCTCGTTCGAAAAAGAAATAACGGTCTACAAAAATAGACTGGGAGCTTTGTAGAGAGCTAGTCACCTCAAGCTCGGACAATGCAAGATGCGTTAATTAAAATTTCAAGTTGATTTAAACTGAACTCGCCGATTATTTTGAATCATTATACAGACACAAATTACGCGAACGTTCATTATCTCTGCCTTAGTAGAACAAGCGCGGAAATTTATAATTCGCCGAGTTTATTACAAGTAGGTCATTATTTCTCGAGTACTAATTAATAGTACTGACGCCCCTATTTTTTTTATTAATTATTATGCAAAAGACTCGTTGCTAACAAAATAACATTTATTACATTTCGTTTGAAATGAATGACAAATGCTTGTCACATAAGAAAATTGTTACGCGCTGCTCGAATCTTTTATTTTCACAGTCGACGACCATGTCGACGACGAACGTCCGAAAAATCGAACGAGAGCGATTTTTCTATTCCGAGCTTTGATAGAGCCGCAATACCCATTTGCATGGTAAAAGTCAAGTCCTGAATAACTAAAATCGAATATTTTCAAATTCCATGCATAATACTTTGGGCTAAAGGAAAAACTTCTATGAAAGGAAAAAATTTCAAAAGACAAGAGAATGCTCTTAATTATTTGCGATATCTATTTGATAATATACCTAAATTTTTGGACCAGTTTCTCATTTTAAACTATTTACGACAGTTTATAAGACATAAGTTGGAAAAAGACGAGGAATAAATCAAAGAAAATCAATTTTAGACACGTCGATATTATTGATGCCTCGAAGGGAACTATGTATTTCAATGAAATTGGACCAAAGAATGATCCAGTGAATCAAACATACTGCCGTTCATTGACAACCGATAAGTTCGACACCATTTTCAACGTGGAACAACGATTCTTGACCGTTACTCTGTTCCATATCGGTGTTTCACGTTACATCGTTCTGCGAAATAAGAGATGACAATTACTATTTAAGGATGTATTGGCTATACAGTCAATCCCAAAAGTTTATGTACCTTAGAAAAACGCATTTCCTATAATTAAAAAGAAATCAGACGTCGAAAGAACAACGCTAATTATAAATAGCTACGTGCTAAAAAGTATAAAAGGAAATATCCAATTAAGTATTGACGCTGACGAAACTTCTTTTTTTCAAACTTGCGAAAAATGCTTGAAATAAAAGTGGTTTTCCTTCTAACTTCGATATTTAACGAGTTACGTATGATTATTTGGCATTTTATTGATGTTGACAAAATCCGACCATCCCAGCGTCGAAACGGCGAACTTTTGGAAAAAAATTTCGTTTTTCCTCAATAATTCCTAAACCCTTGGAGATATGGGAAAAATGCATAGGACCTTTCTTGCAGAGGACGACGAGATCTACAATTTCCATGTAAAAATATTTCGCTAGCGTCAATAGTTAACGAGTAATTTGCAAAAAACTGTTTTTTCGTTTTTCGTCAATAACTCGTTAAATATTAATGCTAGCGAAATATTTTTACATGGAAATTATAGATCTCGACGTCCTCTACAAGAAAGGTCATATGCAATTTTCTCGTAGGACCAACGGTTTGGGAGTTATTGGCGAAAAACGAAAATTTCGCAAAATCTGAAGGGGTACCTCTTGGAAAAATCTCGGAAAAATCGAAAATTTTTGTTGTTGTTTATTATTAGCAATGTTCTTCCGACGTCTGACTTCTTTTTAAAAAATGCGTTTCTAAAGTGCATAAACTTATGGGATTGACTGTATAGCCAATACACCCTTAAGGCTAAAAGCTGTTGTGTGTGCTTTAGTTATAACGATTCTGTTCCTAGTGATTCTCGTAACACAATGCAAAATTAAATTAGAACCGAGTATATCCGATAATATTCTGTGAGCATAATTCAATTAAAAATGTAGATCGAAATTTGTGTATATGCAGCCTCTTCCCATTTGCAGGAAAATTTAATTTGTAGGTTCATTAGGTATACGTGCAGACGTATGCTATATACCATGTACGTATATCTAACATTGGGCGAATCTCATTAATTTAGATTAATATAATAATTAATATGGTAAGTTTTTACTTTGCCGAATGTAATTTATAAATAAATCGTTGAAATTACTGTGTATAAGTCTTTACTTGCTACTGGACTGCATCTGCAGTTTTTAATTTGCTGACAGTGTAATAATTCTGTTATGTATCAATAATATGATGACGAGAATCACGGAGGATAAGATCCCTTATAGCTCATGTTAAATGAAGCATCTGACCAGCGTTGCACGAAATGTATGTATGAATATTCTAAAATGAATGATAATTGTGTAAATTTCCAGTATCAAGTAAATATATTACGTATGACGATGACACTATTTGAATAAATTGAAAGGTAGTCCTGACAAAAACGTGGAATATCAATTTAACAAAATGTATCTTCAAACTTTAATGATCCACAAGAGAATAATGAGTACTACTTAGGAATTAATGCTTCAGGGAACTGTAATTTCTTCAGCTACTATTTTGTTTGATACAGTTTGATAGAAACAGAAACTCAATGGGAAGTTAGTTTAGTGAGATATTTCATAAACACGAGTCTAATATCTCACGGTTCTCAATCTACTCGGGAAGTTCCAACGAAATCGGCAACATTTCACGTGACTTTCCTTTCTAAAGTGTTAAATTGAAGGAAACTTTTGACACTTAGCACCTTGCCTTTGCGATCGGAACTTTCAGTCTTCCAGCTGTGGGTATACAATATATGGGGTAATTTAAACATTAATAGATAATTAAATAATTCGCTCTTTAATTAACTCACTTAAATTAACGGCGAAGAGTATTGATATAGTTAATAAAAAATTAAGATAGTTCGTTTCAGTTTCCGGAATATCGATTCGAGTAGCATACATGAAATATGTATGTGTTTAAATACTTCTCTTATTTCCGTCTGACTACGAAGCTTCATTTTACATACACGAGCGCGTCTTCAATTACATAGAACTGTATACTTTATACATTCCAATTGAGAATATTATATTCTTGTGTAAACAGTTTTCGTATAGATTTACCAATGATCAATAATGAAATGGATGTTATCGATTGAACGTATTATAAAGCGTGCTCAAGATGAATCGTCGCTTCAGAAAACGTTTTGATTCAATTTCGCTTCAAATAGGATTTCATTTCTCTCACAATTAAACAATAACGTTGATAAAAGTGGGATGAACCGCATTATTCGAAGAGTGCCTATTAACGGGTTGAATTGTTTTTAATGATTGGGTATACGTAAATCGAGAGGCGGAATATAATTCAGGCAAAAAAAATTAAAGCACTAACTGTGCATATCGAACACTGATATGTTAATGCTTCGTGTTAAGCAAGGTACTTTATAAAACACGATATATACAATACATTATCGAGGAAGTACATGAAAAATTAGTATATAAAATTCTTATTATGACATAACAAATACTGGTTAATCCGGAAAATGACAATGTAAAGAGATTTGTACAGCGGAAGTTAATATTTATTAAATCATATCCCAACACGAAGTCAAATTATAATTTGTCATACATTTACATTTTATAAAGAAATAGAGCTTGTCCTTAATGGAACGTATTAATGTTTGGTATTCTTGCAAAAATCGAATACTTTTGGAGGTATTTGAGGATTTATTTTTATTCGATTATTAAAGGAAGACTTGACAAAATTTAATAAAAAGGTGTTTAATATCAAATTTTATTTTCACACAGTAAATAAATGTATAAATACAGCATCACGTTTTTACTTTAAACGAAAACAAAATAAATTACGAACTGCGAGATAAAATAAAATTTTAGTAACTGCGGATTGAACAACATATTTTATGTTACAACCTGTGGATGTATTTAATTGAATATGCTAACATTGACGTATCAGGAGATAATTGTTTTTCTAACACAGAAAAATAATCGATCTCGTTGCAGCGAAATATTTATACAAATCAGATTACGGTAAGTGAACACGATAATGTATGATGCATGTGTCACAGCATCGTAAAACAGAAATTACTTCATCTTCCTGACTATAATCGAGACCGAGATTTGGACGCGAGCGGGTCTGATCTGATTCACATCTATTTTGTTATCTTAAAGCGTGACTAATGCTGTCATAAGGGGGATCCAAACACACTCTCGCACTTAATATATTTAAAGCATTATGCAGTCTTCCGAGTTGATAATAGATCGGATGCGATTTTAAAACATGTATCAAAACACCGATTGGGGCTAGTCAATGAATTCGCCATAACAGTTTCGGTGACTGCAGGTGCTCTCGAAAGGACAATTATTGCACCTGCAGTGAACCGTTCGACAAGTTACGCGGCTTAAAGCGTTAAGTGGCTCGACGAAAGGTGCAAAATCAATTAATTATGAACAATTCTTCGATGGGAGAGGCATCGTTTACAGAGATCAGACGAATGTAGGGCACGAGAAAAGAGAAATGAAATCACCTCCATGATTGTTGAAGGAGCTCGATGTCGACTCGAGGGCTGGGATGCTCGCGTGGGAGAGACCGATGGTCAATCCGAAAACCACGGTAATAGCCGCCAGTAGCATTTTCTCTGCCTCCTGTTCCCAGGATACTCCGATTTATCAGTTCTACGGCCGACGACACTCGACTTATCACTCGCAAGAACTCGCTTTTTTAAAAGAGCATCGCCGTCTACTGCACGACTCGCTTGCGACACCACGCACAATCGCGAAGTCAATATTTGAGCAGAATATCGATTCGCCAGAAAACGTAGTGTCGATTCTCGTCGCCAGTTGCCGCGCAGGCACCACGCTTCGAGATTGAATTATACTATATACAATGTGTCACAAATCCCAAATGCGGATGAACCAGGTAATGAATATTAGGCTACGGATAATTGCACCATAAAAATTCAAACAAATCATTAATTCCCTTTTTACCAAGAATGTTACATTGTAAACTGTGGTGTGTTTATTGTAAAACGAATATCTGATCTTGCTCAGCGTTCATGTTCTTCATTGGCTATTCAGAATTAGTTCACAAAAGCTCATCTTTCCCTATTGTGTGCATAACATATAAGAAGATGATTGCGCACACATTATAAAGACAAAGCGATGACACTTTTATATCAAACATGGTCAGGTCCACGTAATATATGCTCTAAGATGTATATTAAACAAATCCAGGAAATTAAAATATATATAGTGCTTCTTCAGCTACTAGGGTTGGCAATGAAGAGTAGTCTTTTGGCAATACTGCATAAAGTACCACACCTGTACATTCCACCACAATCCATGCACAGATGCACTACCCACTACCATGGGCATAGACATGAATGAATTGACAAGGACGTGAACGCTGTAATCTATGCTTTATAAAGGTGGTTAAAAAGGACAGGACAGAACTTATGGACAGAAGGGGACAGATGTATAAAATTCATTGGAATTCCCTACCGGGGATTTCCGTTTGTAAGTGGAGACTATTATTAAAACCGCGCACTATAATGCGCAGTTAGAATACTACAATCGGCAGTGCTTGTGCCGCTTGTGCTGACGTCCAGTTCAACCATTTGCGCATTACTTTTATTGCAGTGTATATAAAAGTTGTAAAATTCGTCATCGTTCGTGTCTTACTTTTATTGTAGGCTCGCAAAATTTGTTATTATTTCATGTAACAATAGAAAGTAAGAAAAATTCTTTACCTTGCTTGTTCCCTCAACATTTTTGTAAACGTATGTAATGTTTCGCAGTTGCGAAACTGTTCATGGAAATAAGATAATTTTTTGATACATATAAAAAAGTATTGTTTAATTGACCCCGCAAATAGCTGACAACATGTCTAGTTCTCAATGGGTAAGTCTTATTTACTACTTATTATAATATTTCCATTGTAGATATTTGTGATTACATAAGAGTTTTATATATGGATTTATATATCAATTTTAATTCATCTTCCTTTTTTCATGCAGGATCAAATGTTACAAGTAGCTAAAATGCAACAACAGGAGTATTATGAACTTTTGCCAGAATGGACAAAGTACGAAAAAGATGAATATACGTATTTAAAGCAAAACATTGGATTTGCGCTCTTCGGTCCTCCTTCAGAAAGTACAGAAAGTACAGAATCTAACGTTTTATTAAATGCGGACACAGTAATTGAAAATGATAATATTATTAATGCATTTCATTACAAAGAAGAAGCACAGACGGTCATAGACACAGTATATGATAAGGTAGTTGAATTCGGAGATGGAGCTCTAGAAGAATCGTACATTTATTATGGATTAATTTTTAACGTAGCCATATATCCACCAATTCCTAATTTGGATGAAAAAAAGGATATTAGTAAGGATGGAAAAATAAAAGCAATAGATCAAGGTACCAAAAAAGAAGTACCAGAGAGTGAAAACGTAGAAGTAAATATGTGTTCGGCCCCAATTTTTAAAATATTGAGGTCTAAAGACGGTGTATGGTATATTGATACACATGGAAGAGTATATAAATCTTGGATGGATTATAAAGAAAATAATACTTTACCAAAGTGCACTATGGTCCTTCCGATGAATGGTTGTTATAAAGCTGATTGTAGTTGTGCAGTGACTGAAGATAGTTCAACAGTATGGTTAGAAATACTAGACTCACCGGCATGTAGTACAACATCAACTGTTCTTCAGGTCACAGATACGGGCACAAGCGTAATAGGAATGATTGGACTTGGTTTAACTGTTGCAAGTATTTTTACACCCGCTGCACCTGTGGCAATAGGTAATTATAAAAGAAAAATATAATTAAAATCATATTAACGTTGTTGCAACTGCAGGTGCATTGGCCGCTACCGGAGTAAGTGGTGTATGGGCAACAGGGAGAGCAGTGCACAACTTGGTAGACAGAAGTACTCACGAAGAAAGCATCAATATAACAAATAGGAGTGCATTTTGTTCGTGGTTGACTATAACTGGTGGTGCCCTTGGTTTGGCGGCGGCTGGAGGAAATGCTGTTCTCAACAAAATCGTACAAAGTGGTAATGTTGTAGGCAAGGGTCCTCAAGTGGTACATGATGTATTATTGCTGAGTAATTTGGGTGTTAATGGTTTTGGTTTGGGATATCAAGTATATTCTATGTATCAACATTATCAAGAAGGAGGAGAAATTCGAGTGATTGATGTATTGTCTTTGACCACTCATGTTTTATTCTTTGGTAACGCGGTCATGAATATGAAATTTGCTGGAGATCTCATTGAATCAACTCAGGGTAAAATTGTAGATGATTTTAGAAACGACATACGTGGAAAGAATCTCCGCAAACAATTTAATCGCGTAAAGCGTAATGCTGCTGCAAATAATGTAGATAAGATGGGTGAAAATGCTGAAGTCATACGTTATATTAACAATAAATATGAGTTGCGACTGGCAAACGGCATAAGCCCAAGTAACAATGCTCTTAATAACAATATAATATTGTTTGACAATGGCGTAATAAAAGTTTGCGGCTATTCTTTACTAGATCCTCTTAAATTTGTGTCCTGGCTAATTAAGCTTGATTTGCATCGTAGAACCTATTCCAGTGCACCTTTGACTAGTAGAGACGATGGCGAAGCTGGTGGTATGGCTTCCAAATTGAAAGATTTGTTGTTGACATTATTATCGAATTTTTCACAGAATCATAGAAATATAAGTCTGCCTAACATAGATGAATTTGATTCTACTTTCGAGGACATGAAGTACATGAAAAATGGAATAGTTGTTTTTAACTTAATATTTAAAATAGCTACTGCTTTGATAGAACATAAAGTAGAGTTTAAAGAATATATAGTTAAGGCAGTTCACTTTATTTGGTGTTACGTAAAAGAAAGCGTGAGAACAAACGGTTTAACTGTAATTTTTTCTATTGATAATGAAGAGATACAAAGAGCGTTGCAGAAAATACTACAAAACATCCTCGATCATTTAGATGCTGTAGAAGAGAGACTAATGCCGGCTTTTGAAACATACGTACATAAATATTTAGAAACTTTTTTTTCTTAACATTGTGGTGTTTATAAATAATCTTTTATATGGAAACTGTTATTAACTGAAACTTCATGTAATTATAAATATGTAACGAATATACAAACACACCGATTTTTAATTACGTACATATCAATGTTAAGATATACCGTAGGTAGAAAAGGGAGAAGCACAATCAGAATACAATTGTACAATGAATTTCCGCCAATATTTCTTATATCGAATATGCAATAATGTTAAAAACTTATACGCTTTTTAATGAAAGTATCTAATAATTTAGATTGTAAAAGATCACAGAAATAATCGTCAAATAATATTTTCTTATAGATATATATGCGATAAAAATAATGTGTATATTATAATCATATGATTAATTCATAATATATTTCTATATAACAACATGTTATGTACATGTTACTCGAATATCGTTCCAATTTTAATATTTTACCTTGTACTACTGCTGAAGTAAGTACATTACTAAACGATATTGAACTCACATGCTTTTGTAAATTAATGTTAATAAGTAGACATAATATAAAACTCGTATGAAGAAATTATTTATATAAGAAATTTGTTTAAACTGAGAATGACTGCAATATTGGAATTGACGTAGAAGTGATGTTAAAAATTTATATGGGTTAAGAAAAAATTAATGTGTTAATAAATACTTTAGAGTTCGTATTTTGCTATGTAATTTTTACATATTAAAATGAAATAAATAAAGGATTATCACAAAGATTGAATTGGTAGAATCTCTTCCCTATCGATAGGAAAGAAATTTTGCAATAGCACGTATACGAAGTATCATACTTCGATGACCAGAGCGCAGTAGTGACTCCCAGGGATCAGTGCGTCGTCGCAGTTCGGTCGAGGGGTGAAAAGGGTAAGGGATTTACCTATGTATGTATCGTTGGGTTAGTTCGTTCTCCGTAGCTGCCAATTCGTATTTCGTGTTTCGTTGCGCGTGAGATTCGTGCGGTCCTCGAGCGAGGCACATCGTAATGGCCGCGACCTGACTCGGGCAGTGTGCATGCGAGCTACCGTGTTCGCGTTACGTGAAGCAGACGAACGGAATAGAAGGTAGAGTAAGGCGTACAGGAACGACGGGAAGAGTTGCAGGACGGAATTTAGGGTTACTCGATTTCAGTGCGTATCGTGAGTGCGTGTGTAGGTGGGCGAGGCGTGAGCTCGCAACAAGAGTCTCGAGGACAACGAGTCATGAGCGAGGATCGGAGCGAAGAGGATCCTTTAATGGACCTGTGGTACAGCAACTGGGAGCAACAATGCGTCGAGGCGTTAGAGACAGAGCCGGATTATGAAACGCAATTGCACAACGAAAAGGAACTGTATTCTCAGCAGATGTGGACGAGTTTTCAGACGACAGCGTCGGCCATCGCCCAGCTGTACAAAGGCGAGTTAATTCAACGATAATATTGGAAATCGTTCGTATCATTCTTCAATTAGTCCTTAGCCGAGAGCTAAGCGGGGCCACGAGCAGCGAGATGTCTGTGCTACTCGGTGTAGTTACCATTTTGCGTGACATCCATTTTGTGCGACGTACATACATGCAAGCGGATACGCTACTGTTCTCGCTTTTCGTTCGCTTCGATACCCCTTTTTTCACCACATATGCATATCGATCTGATCGTCTAACCAGTTCCGTTTCGGTTTTGCTATTTTACAGATCGTACGCAGGGTGTCTCTCTATGGCTACCCTTCCAGACTGCTGCAGGCACCGTCACATCGTTGTACAAAGGTGCGTACACTTCTTTAGTCTCTCTTGTCAACAATGTCCAAGCAAGATAAATCTTAGCCCTATCCTCCTCTAACGCTCTCATTCTTTCCTCACAATACCATTCTTTCTCCGTCGTGTTTTTCCTCCTCTTTATCCTCACTCACGTTATTCGGTCATCTTTCTGCAGCCGTCAGTCATACGCACATACACGCGCATACACATGAGCAATGCGTCTCTGCATATACGTGTGCGTCAGACCGCTTTGCACAGCTGACCAAAGCTGAAGGTCAGCTGTTAATTGACGCAAACTTTTTGGGCTATTACGAATATATTAATAGAAAACAAGAGTAAATTCCAGCTATTCTCGGACGATTAGATCACTTTCCTGAATGATAGCGGAATTTATATGAAATTATTAAGTTATTAACGATTCGATTTGTTTTGTTAACGTGACTTAGGTACATTTCCTGACTGACGTTTATTCAGCAGAGTCATTTCTTTTTTGAATCAAACATCCCTTTTGTGTACTATTTAGTATATTTTTGACTAGCTTGTTTAATACGAATTTCGACAGATTCAATGGACAGCATGCGTCGATGCAGTGAACTAGGCATAGAAATGGGTCGGCAAAAACGTAGTAAAGAAATAATGAATTGGGCTAGGAAAAAACGGCGTATGATTCGTAGGGAAGACCTATTAGCGTATCTTGCTGGGAAACCGCCACCACCTCGACCACATTCGCACAGGTAAACACTTCATTTGTCTTTTCATTAAATACTGTGTGTTTTCGGTAGCCCTTTTATAAAATAATTTCAGAATGTAGTATAAAACATAAAAGTATGGTACTTCGTTCTAGAAAGATATCCAAAATTTGTTTGTATTACTGTATTGATGTGCCCATTTCTTATGAATGCAAGTAATAGAAGCATAAAACAAATGTGACCGAATTTACAGAAGTTCACCTAAGCCGAGGATGATGGTATGTGGATCATCTCCATCAGAAACATCAACACCAAACATGGTTGTTGCACCAACACCAATTCCTGGGACTGAGCCTGATCCTGAATTGCATACATTTAGGGAAGCAATCGCATTATCTGGTAAGATTTACTCTAATAATGTACGTTATTTCTTTTGTATACTAACACTTGAAGACTTTAGTAAAAATGGTACATATATATTTGTTTGAAATGGAAGATTTAAATATAGATAAAGCAATTTATGTAGCAAAAAGAGATACAAACATTTCTCTATTAAATTACATGTTTCATCGTTTGTATTCCTTTTCTTGTGAGCTTGTCGAATGATAGTTTTTTAAGTAACCAAAGACTGTTAATCGAAGATTGTTAATTTGTTTATTTTCATGTAGGTTCACCGATGTCTAGGCGTACTGGAAGGCAAGCCGAATTGTCGGCATTCATTAGTAGCGAATTCGCTCGGCATCATAAACGGCCTGCTTCGCATGACGTGGATATGGGATCTCCCACGCACAAACGTTCGCGTTTCATGTAACAGCGCGCGATGTGTAAAGTAGCTTCACTCCCTTGTTCCCCATTAATTAATCAATTGACAAATTAATTATTTACGGTCCAACTCCCCTACATAGTTCCCGATTAAACGTAATCATCTCGAGAAAAATGGCAGTGGTTTATATTGCCATGTAAAACACGTTCGTATATTTCAAATAATCAGTATGAAGCATCAAATTTCGTCAGTTTTGTTT